ACATCCTTTCGCCTCGATTGAAAATAATATCGTTTGGTGTGAATTAATTACTATTGATCATAGTGCTGTGCGCTTAATGTGATATGAAAATCGCGTACGAACGACCTTTGTTTCTAGGCCCATAAATTGTAACCCATTGTCTGCCCATTATATAATATTATTATAACTTTTCTCACTCACTCCTCTCACTGTCCCTCTCCCTCTTTCGCTTTCCATTTCGCATCTCTTCGACCGTCACCGCCACTTCCATAGCTGCTGTGTAATATAATGGTACATGACGTATTCGCATCTCGTTGTACGTTTCGATTACGCTTGTGTTCTGGTAATACCATCATCGTTATTCGCAGCCTGATTCCAAAATTGCTATTGTTCTCGTCCGTAACTCATTGTGTTTGCCTGCGTGAGAAATTTGTAAATTCTATTGTTAAGAGAAAAGTTTGCGCTTCAATTTTTCGATGAACGTGTGTATTTTTTTTTATTATTCGTTTATCCATTTCGATCCGTTACTCTCATTCTTTCTTTCACCATCACTCTCTCTCTCTCTCTCTCTTTCTCAATCTTTACGTCTTCAGTTCTATAACAACACCGTTGAAAAGTCACTCATGTGATTTCTATTGAAATCCAGAAAAACCCAAGGTAATTTCGTATTTTTCTTTCGGACCACCTCAATTCACCGTTTTTTTTTTCGTCTTTAGCAGTATCCACGTCTGCCATTACTAACCGATTTCTCATCGTGTTTTCAATCACAATAATAATAAAAATAATAATATGGTTATTATTTTCATCTTTTCCGACACATTTTTTCACTCGGATTATAATTTTGGTTTTCGTGCGATTTTCTTCTACCCCAGAGACTACGTTCAGCAACGACGACGGTCCATTATGTGTAACAGCAATCATGGTAATGTGAAAAGTTGATACGTCATTTTTCATCGACCTTTTACCGTGAAATTGATAAATCTTGAAATAGTTTTAGTTAAAGGTGGAAAAATAAAGAACAACGTCCATTTCTATGCTCTGCGGTAATATTCGTAGAAATTGCAAAACAGTTTTACAATGGCTTTTATATAAACTGAAACATTTCAATTATAATGTAATTCACGAATTGATAAACGCTTCACATACTATCGGACACATGTTTTTGTTCTATTTTTTTTTTTTTTTTTACAGACGTCGGCTTTTTCCGTGTCCGTTTATGGAGCGTATGATATTTAGATTTTCTGGAAATAAATTTTCGGGATAATTTGCCTATGCCTATACAATGTAATAAGCGAACGACGTGTTTTATAGTTTCAAACCAATACATGGGACATGCCGATTATGATTTTCGATTAAAATAACCTACACGACAGAGACTGCAGAAGACCACCGACTGCCAGAGGTAAAACTAGGAATTTTCACACTCGGAGAAAATGTTAAAATTACGCCCTATCATAGACCAATAATCAAATACTCTCCTCGAGAGTTTTTTTCTAATAATTAATATACAATTATACTTATTAAGTTTTAACCTAATAACAGTATTTAACAAACTTAAAAACATCAAATTAGTTGTTAATAATTAATCTTCCACCCCTAGTTCCATTTCTGAAGAGTACATATTACGAATAATACACATGCGTTTTTCTTGTTTTCTCCGTGATTTACTCCGCTCGTGCACGTGCGTTATACTAAGCATCGTGATCAATCGTTCAGATCGAAGATTTTTTTCGATCTCAAGCTTACCGCCACCGAGACAAAAGTAAGTCGTCGGCTTGTTCGGCGAAAACAACCATCACGCGCATCTCCTATGTACGCGGGCGGTACGACAACGGGATTTCGAAGGGTTGCATGTCATGCCAATCCCGACGCTACTATGTTGCCGTCGTCATGAACAATAACACTAATGCTTGCTCAATAATAGTTCGTCAAAAAACAACACCCGTCAGCCTTTTCACTGGCAACGCGCTTACCCTCTCCGACGTCGAGGCAGTATTTTAACAAGGACGCACAGTGAGCTTACAACATATTTATGCTCGCACCTCTCAAATCCTTCATCATCGTTTCGCAATCAATTGGCTTTCGCTTTGGCAGTGTCAGTCCACCAATCGGTGATGTGCGCCTTAACGGTGACAGGGGAACATCTCCGATCCGTCACGACGTACCGTTTATTATGATTTTATAGATCATCGACGGGGCACACCAAGAAAACGGGACAAAATAAATCTCAAAAATTAGAGAGCAGAACTTGGTTAATTTGATACAAAAAAAATAATATTTCAGTGGGTTTTCGCGAAACAAATTCACGAATCGATATTGAACGTGAAAATAAATACATCAAATTTTAAGAGTTTTTGAAAGTTTATTTATTTTTAAATCCACTTGGTTTATTAAAATAACTTTGGCTCTACAACAATAATATATTTTTAGCCTACACCACAAGTAAATGACTGTTTCGCAGAGTTCCATGACATGCATTATATATTACATCGTTCAATAATATTACGTATTTCATTTATCCTATCAGAGGTCAAGTAAAATTGTATTAATATAAATGAACATTTTAACAATAAGCAAAAAATGTTTGCGCGATTCTGCCAACTTATGAATACCGAACGGTAATTTATGATTAAAAATTTTGCAATACTTGAAATCCGAAACAAATTTTCTATGTTGAAGAGAGCACGGTATTCAAAATAATGGAAACGGTGCATGTTTTACGTAGGTATATATTTATGTATGTATAGTTTTTGGAGGAGACTTCTGATACAGTTACAAACATACTACAATCATACAAATCGTGTTACAAATCGTGGATACAAATCGTGTTTGATCTAAGTTCAACCCATTAATTGGTTCATAAATTTGTAAATAAAATTATAAAAATCGTTCGAATTATTTCTGCTTTAAAAACTAAAAAAAAAATTGCATTTTTAGATTACTTTCCACGTTTTTTAAATCTTATCCGATAAAAAAACTACAGACAACTTTTAATGCAATCTTACTATCCATAATAGTATTTAAACGGAAAAAACATCATTTTAAAACCAATGTGTTCCTTAATTTACTTAAACTTCGAAGTATAAGAATGAAGCTGAACGTTTTAAAAGAGAAGTGATAGTAATGTATAAGTTAATTAAATAGTGTTATACAGAACAGTAAAATAATTAAATTTTGAAGTTTAAACTTGCTATATTAAAACTTTGAGTTATGATAGAGTGTATACCTGAATGTTTTTTTTTTTTTTTTAATAGTGATTTACGTCTGTATATCTAACTAACAAATAACATAGTATGTGTACATCTGAAAAGTGATTTTATGGTTTTTTTTTTTTTTTTTTGAAATTGTGTTTTGGAGATTAAATAACTTTTGAATTCATGTAGCTCTTAACTAGCCAATGCAATTTTCCCTCAAGCTTCTACTAACATTTAGAAACTATAGTTCTTATAATGAATCTTTCAAATGTGTGAATACTTATATGTATATATATATATATATATATATATATATATATATATATATGATAATATCAACTTGGAAAATAAGAAAAATGTGTAGACAAATAATGAAATAAAGTTAAGACACTTAAAAGTTTGCAGTAAAGTATAAGACTATACGCAGAAGTTAAAAATAAGGGACGGCAATAAAACAATAATTTATGTATTATAGTTTCTTGCGTAGATTAATGAACTGAAGTATTTTAAATTTAATTGTAATTTTATGTTCTTATTCACATAAATTTTGTATATGCGTGTACAGCTCTAATGTTTTAAACGTCAGTGCTTTCTATGGTCGTATACGAGGTGTTATTTCTGCTATTATTTTTTAAACGGATTTTGTGTATTTATATTATACACATAAATATATACATATGTATTATAATTGTATAATTTACATGCGTATATCTGTATATGGCTTACGTGTTCATACATTGTATAAATCGTCGAGTATTTCATTGTAATATTGTAATAAGTACACATTTTGGAATAATATCGATTATTTTTTCTTTAATTTGTCCCATAAGTTCTTCATTTTTATTGCATTTTAATAAAATGCATTCCTTTCCACTTAATGCGTGCAACATTTTATCAATTCTAAGCTAGTGAAAAATTCTAAACTATTTTAGAACCAATTTTCAACCATTTTTGGAAAGTATTTTATTTTTCGATGTAAATATATTTGATATTTTAATTTTATACATATTTAAAATTGCTACGTACAAATGTACATACATTTGTCCTCAATGAAATCTCTAAATATCGGACACTCTCGGTCGGTAAAATTTTATCTAATATTCAAAGGTGTCCAATATTTAGATGAAGAAATTATAAATTCGTTAAATTAATCAATTTGCTTTGTTTTATTTTTATATTACTTTAATACATTTTAATACACTTTAATACATTTTTTAAGGCTCGCGGTCAAATTACTTTACCTATGACGAGTAGCCTTTCAAACTCACCTAACATGTTGGAATACAAGAGTAGAGGTAAACGATGTTCTGAAATTTTTCCTTCGCAAAATATATCATTTTTGAACGCCATAATTTTAACAGAAAAACTCTGAAAAACAATCCCATTTCATCCGTGTTATTGCAAATAATATAAAAATATTGCAATAATCTTCGTAATTAGCTATAATTTCGAATGTGTTTGCTTTCCAGTTGTTGACAGTGTTTACACCAATACTTACTGCTTCACCGAAAACCGATTTAAAATAAATTTTTTACCTTTTCCAAAAAATGTCAAGCCAATCGGGTTTGGATACTTCCGCGATCACAAATCTCCAAGTGAAATCTCGACGAAGTCCGAAGTAGAGGCTGAGCGTGATAGTACCGTAGGTGTTAATAGGCGTGCCATTGGCTGCTGATAGGAAGTAATCGGATTTTACTCGTCGGTCTGGAACAGCACTACGTGGATAAACACATAGTACGGCACCCGTGTCGATGAGAAATTGAGTTTGAGAAGTTCGATCAGTAATGAATAGACGGCGCGGGGACGGACTGGTCCCACTGGCCGTCATCAGTGATGACCCGTCACGTTTCCCGAATTATAGGTACAAGGTTCCTTGCATTTTCGCGATTGTGATCCATAACGCCAATGATACCAGAATAATCCATTTGCACCATGGAGAGTACGGCTCCGAGATCGAGATCTTGAGCGGTAAGTACTTGATCTTGAGTCCAGATTACGCGAGGGACAAGTATTGATCGCTACCACTTCACTTCTCAACGTCACAATTTCCTGATTTGTACTCAAGGTAAGCTGAGAAATTTTAAGATTCAACATGGCTTCAAGAGTGTCACTTCTCGATGTCTCTGCCATTTGAGGTAGCAAAGGACCAGATGCATCCACGATGTTGTCTGCATGGACAGCGAGTTCTTCTAGCTTACTATCTTTAACTATTGCTAACGCCACTTGTATACATTTTGGTAGACGGCCCATCCAAAGTGTCTTTAATAATGTTTCCGGAACGGAAGAGTCAGCCAGGTTTTGGAGGTAGCGTAAAAATTGTGACGGTTTACGGTCACCAATCTCAACGCGCTCCAGAAGTTGACGTGTTTTTTCCTATTGGGAGGCACTAAGACGTTTTATTAATTCATCTTTAATTTTGACATACTTACTGTCCGAAGGCTGCGTCATAATTATGTCTTTGACTTCAACTGCATATTTCGGCGGTAATGCTCCAACCACATACCCGAATTTCGTGCTGTCAGCTGTGACTCCCACGCTGGCGAAACTATCTTCGACCATAGCAAACCAAAGTTCGGGATCTGACGAAATGAAATCCGATATTTTAACGGTCACTCGAGCAATCGTTGCATCTGTTTCTGTAATCACGTCGAGGTCACCAATTTGTGGGATTTAAGTAATAAAAATCACTCACAATTTAATTTAATTAAAATAGACACTATATTATATAAATATGTATGTACAAATATCGATACGCGTTACAATTGCGGTGGAATTGCCGAATATATCGCGGAGTGTAATTCATGGTGTGTCGCGGATTGTACTCACGGACTGTTGAATGAGCGTCTAACCAACCGGTATATATATATATATATATATATTGGCGTCGATTGTCTAGAATATTCTCGAAATTACTTTAACGAGATAATCATCGCATATTCTAGAACATGGAATTTCCCCTTATCTACTGACAATATTGTAAACAACTTGGACGATTCGCAGTGCGTTGTTTACGTCACCACAACTTAAATTTCCATTTTTGTAATACTTTCGCATAAAATTTCAATTACTTCGTTATACTCATGGGTTCGTGTTTCAGATATCAAGATTTTACTTTCCAGGATATTCGGGTTCAGTTATTAAGCCTTTAATTATACTTTGAACGCAATGAGTTTAAGACCTAAAACTTTTAATACTTAGTGGTTCATACTTTGGAAAATATAAAAAATACAGAATAAAATTAAAATATGAATATATTGTGATGTTATAAAAAATATGCAGCATAGTATTTATTTAAAAAAATGTTTAAAAAATTAATATTCATTGGGTCAAAAAAATTCTATTCAATGAGAAATCCAACGATAAATAGAGAAGTAACATCAACTAAAAATGTTTTCTGTTTATTGAATTGATTGATAAAATTTGAGTTTTCAAAGTTTTAGACGTTTTGAAACGTTAAATCAAAATATGGATAGTTTAAGTTCAAAAAAGATCTAATTAACAACTAGTCAAATTACAAATATTATGTTGATTCATTTTAAATGTAATAATATGATGGTGAATTGTTTTCCATACTGAAATTTCAATTATTTTTTAGCAAATATTTGGATATTATGTTGAATAATAAAATAAAAATGTATAAGTTTAAATCACATGGGGGTCAATTAATATTCTATTATATACAAGTTACATTTTAGTGGTTTAAAATCAAAAATATAATCTTAACAGGAAAAAAAACATGTTTTTTTGTTAAACCAGCGGTTCTTTAACTGTGCTGCGTGGAGACCTAGGGCTCTGGGATAGAAGTTTAGGGGCTCAGTGGGCACATCTGAATTAATTTAATTCAAATATTATTGCATTTCTTAAATATCAAGATTTACACTAGTACGCAATGAATTATACGTTTTTTTACCGAATACTCATTTAATTTAAAGTAAAACTTACAGATAAAATTTGTTTAATTTTATTTCGTAACTTGACTGAAGTTTTTATAAAAATAAATTACTTAAATTTATCAATATAAGCTAAAATTACCACATTTTTTACAACTAAATAAAAAGTCATAGCTTTAAAAAAAAAGTTAGAGCTGTATGTTTTTCTTAATATAAGATTGATAGTTTTGTCTGGTTAAAAGAATATTTAGATTAATGATAATATTGATGAATTTGATGAAATATTATTGCATAATTTTTTATATACTAATTATTATTATTTTACATAAATATTCCTGATTTTTAGGGCTCCCTACATTTTTTTAAGAACATAAGGGCTCCACAAACAACAGACCTACTAGGTTTAACACATTTTTATAGTATCAAGTATTTGTATTATTCGGGTTGCATTTTGTATAAAGTTGAACAAGTTATTACATTTTAATCACAAATTAATAACTTCCAGTCATTTACCTTAATAATAATTATTATACTTAAAAAAAAAAAATTAAAACCAACATAAGGACCTAAAAAAATATATTTACAAAAATAAATAGTTATTTGAAACTTATAAAACTATTTATTGATGCAATAAGCCCAACATTTCTAAGATATTTATTTTTCATCGACTATCAATTATTTATACAATAATATCACTGTAAAAATATATTTGAAAAAAATACATTTGTAAATTTTTAAATTAAAGTATCAATAAAAATTTAATTAATTGTAACGTCACTAACGAAATATTGAAACAGGAATGAAACACAAAGATCATAGTGATTTTTTTAATTTCTTCGTCACATTTTCTGGTCTTTGATGTACAATTTTATAATTATATTATTTCGTCAAATAAACCGATTCAATAAATTTCGTAATATATCACTTAAAAAGTTGTGTTATATTAAATGTACTTATATTCATATCTTCGAATAATTTTACGGACCTGCTTTTTTAATATAATATATCCGACGGCAATGTATTATAATATCGACTAATTTTGCACTAAGTCTTCATTCTTACTGATATTAATAATAATAATAATAATAAAAGTAAGTAAAAGTAAATAAGTAAGTAAATAAAAGTAAGTACACATAAATTGTTCGTTATGACTTAAATATTCAACAATTTTCGCTCGATTGCGGTCGTGTTGTAAACACGTCCGCCAACGCAACTACTCGTTTTTCACGAATTTCCTAAAAACGTCGTTTTATCCGCCGTTATAACCGTGATTCGGGTAACCTCAAATCGGCTGCATCTGAATTGGGTCCCGAATTTAAAATTACTACACTAGTTAGGTCCCGGATTTTTATAAGTACTACACTAGTTCCTGATTAATTTTTGGTAAGTACTATATTATACTAACATTTCCTTCCCATTTTAACAGACTTGGGACTGTCTATAATCTATTTAGATTACAGGTATGGTTAAAAATATTTTTTTTTAGTTACTTTTTCAATTAGTTTTTATTTATATTATATAATGATTTTATCATTTTTAATATTTTTACCAACACAACTCTAATAATTTATATTTTTATGGAAAAGAAACTAAAAAACAAAAAAAAAAAAAAACTATGAAAACATCTTTAACCATACCTGTGATCTAAATAGATCATAGACAGTCCTAAGTCTGTTAATATGGGAAGAAAAATGTTAGTATAATGTAGTACTTAGCAAAAAATATTCAGAAACTAGTGTAATATCTAAAATAATTCAGGACCCATCAAATGTAGTACCTATAAAAATTCGGGACCCAACTAGTATACTACATGCGATTAATCCCTAGTACTCGGAACCCAACTCGAATGCTCTGCTCGGATTGATCAATTTTATAATATTAATAATAATAATAATAATAGTAATAATATTAACAACATCATACGATGGTCCCTATCGATTTACCGCAATTTCCTGTCCGACCGTGTATGTTTTTTGTACAGCAGTCGGTCGTATCACAAGCCATAACTCCGAGGAAATCATTGTTCGGCGGGGAGGACGATTTCGGCAAACAAAAAAAAAAGTGTTATTCTCATTTGACCGACACGGAATCGGTATGGTCATGACTGTATTCTTCCACCACTACCATCCACCAATCACAAATGTACGCGTCCTAACAAAATATTATGTAGCAGTAAGGATCCTTTGTGATACAAGTACATTATCCCGAATAGATCTACGCTCTGCGGTACCGTGGTTCGTAAGTATAATGTTCTTGTAACTAAATCTACAAATACATGTACGAAACTACAGTTTGGACCAGTTTCAAAATAATATTATAAAGATATCGATCTCAACCTAAAAAAAAAAAAATGTATTTATAAAATATTTTCTATATGTATGCATACACGGTTTTTAATCGTTTCTCATAAAATCAACTCGACAATGTTATTCAAAGTTAGTAATAACTATTATACATTATAGCGCGATTATAACTCTATAACATTATAACTCTTGATGGCTCGAAGTTGATAAGGTTTATGAAAAATTTCGAATTACTGAGTTATAAAAAAAATATATAACTTGTAAATGTTTCATTAAATTCAGTAGTACTACAACTATTTGCTTAATGTTTTTAAATATGTAACTATGAAATATGTTTGCCTTTATGTTCGCTATATTGTAATGATTAATATTTACAACGTAAGTTTGTACGTACAAACATGGTATATATAATATATATATATATATACACCTACTGAATTCAAAAATATATGTGTGTAATTAAAATTAGGATTATTGTAAGGTAAATTACTAACGATAAAATTATAAGAAATACAATCGTTGAATACAATTCCAATTTCTGAGCGAAACCTAAAATTGACAACAAATTACCATGTGTGCTTAAATGTACTATTTTTATTCGAATAACTGCAAGATTTTTAGGAGAACGAGCAATTACTTCAAATCACAGATGGTTTTGAAATATTGATAGTATAGTTGTATGATATTTTCCACGTTACGTTACATCTTAATGATAACTTCTGGAGAAAAACGTGTGTTTCTTCATTATCGATCATTATGGCTAGTTCTATACTATTAGCTATCGTGTTTTATTACCGTTTATACACATATATTATATCATCGAATTGCTCTATAATTTATTTAGTTCTTCATCAAGAATCCGAACCGATAAATTAACCTAAAAATTCAAAATCCTCTAATTTTCCGTGAGCCAATGAACAATTATCATCTTTATGAAGATCGAAAAAATATGCGATATTGATGTATCGAGTTGTAAATACGATTTGATTGCTATGCTGGTTTCATTCAGTTAATGAAATAATAGCATTTACGTACAGCCTAACGTAGCCTTTCACCGATTTTACGGAGGCTTGTTCGAAATCACGTGAAATTAATTTTAGCATGAGTGCCAAGTACATGGGGGCGGAGACGCGATCGCACCACATTAATTTACAAAAAGAAATTTAACCGTCACTAAATATATTCTACTTATAACTTAAACATTTTTTCATGAAATTTATAAATTTTAACCTGGCAACACAGTGCGTATTATTATCGAACTTTCGGTGTTTTGATAATAAAGTCAACTTTGATTTAATTTAACGTATTTCTACGTGTTATGTTTCGTATATTTCGATGTTGTTTGTTAATACATTTAAGTTATAAA